GGTGCCAGTCTCATCCTCTTGTTCCTCCCACATGGTTCTGGTGAGCTAAGAAAATGTTAACCTCCCTGAGCTTGGCCTTCATAATTCCATTCCATCACAAAAACACAGTGAGTTATGTATTAAACAGAATGGAAATAGTGTGTCCCCAGATTATTTTAAGCTCTAGTCTTTTTGCCAGTTAATACTTGATTTTGAACCCTCAAATCCTTCAATCACATAACTGCTATATGCTGACTTCCATCCCACCAAATGCAGAGAATTGCGGCTGTCACCTCTATTATTACATCCCTGAGTCAGCTTCATCTTATGTTAGACTTACAGGGGAACCCCCCCCCCCCAACTCTTCCATTTTGGTAATTTCTGTGATGTCTGTGCATACAAAAAGGAGCTAATTCACCAGAAAACTAGCACAAAATCTTACTTTTCTAGAAATAAACATATGGCCTCCCTCCACTGATCCCTGAGTGTTTTCATTTTATAGATAATGCTAGTGATCTCTAGCAGAGTTGGCATCCTCAACAATACATGACACCTAGGGATCCTTTGGCAAAGACATGTCAGTTCCTTACAGTTTTGCTTTGTAGTACATGGCTTGCCATAAGTCTTATCCTATTTGAAAAGGTAAATATCAGTTACATGTGGAACTATCCTCAAGGTCAGTGGTACCCTCTTCCTTGGCTATCATGGAATAATAGGCACCTACCTTCTCATGGACTTCAGTTCTCTGTTTGGCACTGTCATCCTTCTTTACAGGTCTTTCCAAATCCTGAAGCACATCAGCCTCAATCTCTTTCACTCTCAGAGGTGATCTTGGTATTCCATGATTCTTCTTCTCTGTGACAATGCCCCTTTCCTTGACAGGACCCCTGGTTTCCTTACTTTTGCTCTCACATGCAAGATCTGTCACTGTGATGGAAGGAACCAGCGCCCTCTGCAGAACATCATCTTCTGTGGGCCACTTCCAGCATCGCCCCAGCTCTTCGCTCAGCTTTTCTGCTATATTAGTGGCGTGCATTTTCTCCTGCTGCAGCTGTTCTACTTGATTTTTCAGCTTTAGGCGCTCTTCTCTTAGTGCTGAAGCTATACTTTCACTTTTCTCCTGCTGGGTTTTCTGTAGAGTTTGGCTGGTGGCTTTCAATGTCTCCAGCTCACTTCTAAGCCATGTAATCTCCTGAGTCTGTCCCTTCAGACTAGCAATAGTACTTTCTGCTTGTTTTGCCAAGATTTCTCTTTCTCCACGGGTTTGTTGCAGAGTGGCTTGGAGCTGTTGCCTCTCCTCTTGAAGCCTCACCACTTCTTCTTCTAAAGTACTTAGCTGGCCTTTGAGTGTCTGTGAAGTTCTTTCCCATCTGCTCTGTTCCTCAAGAGTTTCAGCTTCCAGCTGGAACTTTTTGCTGGCCATTTCCTCTAACTGGGCTTCCAGTGTTGTGTTTTTCACCAAGGTTTCCTTTAAGCAGGCAGACTGGTCATTTAGCTCTCTTTGCAAACTCTGAGCTGCTTTTTCACAGTCCCTTAGGGCCTTTTCCTGCTTCTCCAGAGACACCTGGAGAGTGACAAGATGCTCTTGACATACTAGCAGCTCCTTCTGAAGGTCTTTAATTTCTAGTTTGGAAAACACCAGACTTTGTTCTTGAGACACAAGAGTTTCCATAAGTGTCTCCTTCTCCTTTTCTAAGTCCTTTATTTCAGCCAAGCTCCTCTCTAGTTTCTCCTTAAATGGATCTATTTCCAGTATGGTTGAATATTCTTCTCTTTCCACCATGCTGCAACATTTCTCTTCTGACAGCTCCCTGATTGTTTCCAGTTGGCCATGTTGGCTCTTCATGGCTGCCACATGTACTTCCCACTTCTCCAGGCTCTCTTCACATACTTTCAATTTCTCCTGCAGTCCCTGGCATCGAGAAATCAGTTGCTGTTGCCTTAGTTCTTGGGCCTCCATGTATGCCAGATGATTTCTCCTCTCTGCCTCCTGAGAACTCAGTCTTTGTTCTGCCTCTCTGAGAGATCTCTCAACAACATCCTTCTTGGTCCATGCTTCTTGACATTCACCAGTCAAACTGGCAATCTTACATTCTGCTTCTCTGAGTGCTTTTACTACCTTGGCCAATTCCTGCTGCTGTTTTTCCAGCTCACCTATTTTCTCTTTCTGTTGTTCTTCATATTTTGTCAATTCCTCTTTCAGAGAGTGGTTCTCTTCAGAAAGAGTTTGCTTTAGAGATGCATTCTCCTCTTGTTGCAGAGCCAACTTTTGCTGCAAAACACTCAATTCCCCTGTCAATGTTCTCAAGTCTTCTTGTTTCCACAAGCTGTCACCTTCAATTATCCCATCTACCTTTCTGCAGAGGCAGTGTTTAGTTTGAGGACAACATAATCCTTGGATGGAAGACATGCTACTTGGCTGCTCCTTTCCTAGTTTTTCCAAATGGACCTGCAAATCACCATTTGCCCTCTTCTGCTCCTTGCCAGAAGGTGGACACTGGACATACCTTTCCATAAAGGGATTCAGCTTCAGAAGGGAACCCATCTGCAATAGACTGTTCTTTCTGCTTCGCCAGACCCCAATCCACTTCTCCAATGGCTGTTCCAGTCCAGGTCTCAACTGATCATCTACACTTGAATCAGTAACATATTGATCCATTGTTCTGAGTTTGCTCCTGTGACCTAAGGTACTTCCTTGATGAAGCCCATGTTCTTGGTTTGAGTTTCCAACCTATGATAAATGAATAAATAAGTATTTGGTACAAGGTGATACTACCCTGATAGAAATACTACAAGAATTAAAGTTACAGTAAAACTTTATTTTACTCATAAACAAAAGTGTGATGGAATTCTCTCAGCCTGGGAACAAAAGTGGATGTTTCCAAAATATTGCAGACAAAGAACTGATGGGCATTTTTTGTAGTATCAGGTAAGGAATTAGCATCTTCCCCATTAAACCAAGACCAGTTAGAAAGTGGATCAAATGCAATGGGTAACATACAAACTAATAAATGAGGGCCAAGGTACACACATTCAAAATTCTGCAACCTACCCACTTTTTTCCTTTCAATAAACCTGCCTACTCTCACTCTTTGAGAATGTTGCTTCTTTGGTTAAGAGCTGCTGTAAAGGACTTGACAGAAAGGCTGGTTTTGAAAAAGGTCACTCATTGCCGCTATAGTACTATGAATGAAAATAAAAATAACAAACATTTTGCGTATGTTAGGATGATAGCATACATAGCATTTGCAGAGCAATTTCCAAATACCCGCACTGTGCTCAAACATTCATTTTCCTCTTTCAGGATGAACTCTGCAAAGCTGATGTTGCAAAATAGAATGGGAAAGAAGCTTGCTGGGAGAGATACTGATGTCTGGAAGTCATAATATCTCTGTTACTTCTTCCCTTAATTACAAAATTGAATTTGTAACTTTTTCTAAATGTTTGCCTTTCTTCAAATTAAAAAAAGGATTACCTGGGAATTGTGGGAATTGTTCCAAACATTTCTGCAGGGCACCAGGTTAGGAAAAATGGCTCTATAGTTATCTTTTATGGGAAATGGGAGAAGTCACCTAATTTCAACTTTGAATCTAAAGAGCCTGTGTCTGCAATTCTAATTTTGGATATGATATACATAATACATATTATTTATTTATTGTGCAGATGGAATAGGCAGCATCTCAGCCAGAAGATTCACAAAACAATTTTTGCATTTTGTCCTTGGTTCCACAATCACCCTTTGTGCAGAGTATGTGGAAAGATCTCAAATCTCTTTTAATCAGTAAGAAAGACAGCTTTGGTATAAACCAATAATCCAAACCATTGGTGGCATCTCCTGGCAGGAAAAATTTTGCATGTGTAAAGGTGGCAGGTGAGAAACTGGTGTGGCCTCAGGATATATACTGTAAAGCAGCTGGCTTGCTGAAGGTAAGCAGGCGAGGGTTTAGTCATTGGTTATACCTGGAGCCCCATGACAGAAGAAAGGTTAAACAAACAAATACATTGTGTACCTTAGAAGATCCATCCTGTGACTGGGTGTACTTTGTAGCTCTGATGGAAAATTGTGGCAAAACTCTAGGAAAAACAACAATAATGGGTCAAGGAGGAAGCTACTGACTTCTGCACCTAATGTCCTACCTCGTGCCCTGTTTCATATAATTTCTGGAGGAGATCTCTCATGGTAAGCCACTTGAAGTCAGTTTGAACTGTGATCCTTTAGAAGTTGCTAAACTACAACTCCCCACCATAGCTGCTATAGATCTACATTATCTAGCAGTCACAGATTCTTCACCACTACCCTAAAGAGAGCATCACAGATTATGATATGGCCTAAACCTGTGAAAGTGAGCAGACCCAGGGGTGTTATAGACCTTTAAGTAAAGACACAGCAAACAGTCCACAAGGACATATAAGAGTTTGTGCAAGTTTCACAGAGTCTGAGTCTGCAAGTTTCACAGAGTACATGAATCAGAATATGGGGAATGAATAACCTTGTAAAGATGTGGGGAACAATGATGAAGGAGGAAAGAAAAGAAGAATGAATATGTATTTTATAATACTAGAGAAGTGTATTTGTAAATAAATAACACAATAGCTAAAGCCTGATTATCTTACAATTTCCACGGTAGCTGTCTTATTAAAAATATACCTCTCTCATGGTAGCATTTTGGAGGCTGGAGGAATACACATTCCACCCCACACAGGTAGCTGAGCCATAAACAACAGAACTGTTCCCTTACAGTGCTCCAAGCTGCCTTACTCAGAAATATCAGTGTGAGATGGCTGTACGTGAATCTCTAGTTCCCCGCATTTGGGAAGGCTTGTGTCTTTGGCTACTCACTCTGAGACTGTGGGCCATGCAGTATCCAGATCTTCTCTGCGGAGAGCCAGATGGAAGGCAATGCCATCCAACTCATAGAGGGAGTTCAAAATGTCCGTCCATAGCTTTTGGTCCAGGAAGGGGCTACGTGCATAGTACCACTCACTGCAAGGAACAAATCACAGAGGATACTAAATCCCAGCTGCCTGTGTTACCTCCATTCCATTCCCACCACGGACCAGATCCAAACAAATGTAACCGGCTTAGAAGGTGGCAGTCCTCCTAGTTATCATGAACCTTGAGAATACAAGAGAAACTAATACAATTAACATACATCTACCACATCCCTACAATGAAAATGCTGAACAAGGCAGACTCTGCCAACCAAGGATTGCCCTGCTAAATCAGAGTTAGGGTTGTACTGAGGCCCAGAGCACCACAGAGCCCTCAAAATCTTTGGTGAGACTTTCAGAGCCTCTCTAAAAATTAACAGCAGATTGCAAGCTTTAATGTGACAGGATATGTACGTGTGTGTGTGTGTATTCATGAGAAATAATCATATTAATTGTATTTAAATAATTGCATTCAAATATAAATTAAATCAAAAGTAATTTTTATCTTGGCACTCACTGTTTCTTTGTTCTGGTCCCACCTCTTCGTTTTAAAAAAAGTTTTCTAACCCAGTGAAGATAGCTGGGGAAGATCTAGGAGCACTTCCACTCTGCCACTGTTTCCATCCCACAAAACCTCAGAAGCAATTTGAAAGCAATCAGTCTCTATCTCCATTTAAGTTGACTTGAAATGCTGAGAACAAGGGGCGAGTATCAGTGCCCTGAGCTACCACACTCTCTGCAGCAACAAAAATCTCATCATCCCCACTCCACACCAAACAGAAGAAAGCAAGAGCAACAACAAAAAACAGTTGCCTTTGTTAATTCTTGTCAATTTCACAGCTTTTAATCTTTTTCTTTAATTTTATGGAAGGGGGTTTATGAAGGGGTCTTGTAAAATCATTGCACTAGCATTTTTTTATAGGTCCTAAAGCTCATGAATCTGGAGAACAGGTGAAGGAAGAGTTCTCACCAATATGGAAACACACAGAAACTCCAGTTTCACAGTAGCTTTCCCGGCACTGTAGCTGAACCAGAAATAAATCAGCTCAACTCTCTGATACAGTTGATATGATGCGAACACAAACATCAAGCTGCTTTCAAACTGGTGCTGAATACTTGCAAGGAAGGGCTCTTACCTGGTGACTTCTGGTTCCATGAAGCAGAGCTGCAAGGTCTCAGCTAATTGTTGATGGACCAGGCAATAGCGGATGAAAGCACGGCCTTTCCCCACAGCGGTTTTCAGCTGTCAAGTAAACAAGTGTATATTCCGATGTACAGGCCAAAGTAGTAAAGAACTCCTTAAATTACCCTATTTGCTAAAAAATATTTGTTTATATACTCTCTCTAGGCTATCCACCTTGGCTTACAACTTCTTCTAAGTTCCCTGTAATTTGTCTTCCCCACTTGCTTCCACTGCAGTGATCCATTGTGCCAATGTCCTAGTCTTGGTGCAAACCAATCCATATTGATACTCTTCACCACAGTCTGAATAAAAGAATAAACTATCACCAAGTTTCCTTGGGAACTGTGTTACCTTGCTATAGAACTACGACTGAAAGATTCTAAACATAATAGCACTCTTGTGCTATATACAGGTAGTCCTTGGTGAATGACTGCCCTGTTTAGTGACCATTCAAACTTAAGATGGTACTGAAAAAGTAGGTTTACAATTGGTCCTCTATGATAGTCACACAATCACGATTTGCAACCTTCACAGCTGACTTCCAACAAATGAAGTCAAAGGGGAAGCTAGCAGGAAGTCACAAGTTGTGGTCATGTGATGTTTCACTTAATGACCACACCGTTTAGTGACAGAGTTGCTGGTCCCGACTGCAGTTGTTAAGTGAGGACTACTTGTATAAAGAAAAAAAGTGCAACCAAACAAATTAGGTTTGAGTGGCAGATGAAGGGGTTAACCATCAAGCTCACAACCATGAGGGAATCTTTTAAAGGACACTCAGTTTGCTAACCTCGCTTCTAATCATTTTGGAAATTGCTTATCTAACTGTCTTAAAGCTATTAGAGATCTTTGGAATGACAAGTTTGAAAAGCGACCTGGTGAGTCTATCTTCATTTCTGAACAAAAGAAAAACTAACTATACATTTAAGAACTGAAAGAATTTGAAATAAATGGCAAAAAGCAAAAGAAGATTTTGAACCAAGAAAGCTATAAAACAAATTAAGGGTCCAGACAAATTTGGAATATTGAAACTTTTACTATAAGATTTTGGAACTAACTATATAAAATAAGCAAGCAAAAGAAGATTTTGAACCAAGAAAGCTATAAAACAAATTAAGGGTCCAGACAAATTTGGAATATTGAAACTTTTACTATAAGATTTTGGAACTAACTATATAAAATAAGCAGCTTTTTATGGAAACCAGAATTATTTTGTCTATTGTAAGTCATAACAGAGATTAGAGACCTTATCATTTAAATTGGACACTAGAGGGGACTAAAGATTCCAGGCAAAAAGAAAAAAAACTGTCTTTGGTTTTGATTAAGATTGGGATTTACAAAATGACACAAAACACTATAACATTTGAAATATTAAAGGAGATCTTTGAAGAATGGGGCGAGAAATTAGTAGCCACAATGTCTTTGGTTTTGATTAAGATTGGGATTTACAAAATGACACAAAACACTATAACATTTGAAATATTAAAGGAGATCTTTGAAGAATGGGGCGAGAAATTAGTAGCCACAATATCAGCAATATCAGTAATGATGTCTGCTTCTGTGTGTTTAAAGGATATTAATGAAGGAATGACAGATTTGAAACAAATATTGCTCGATGCAGAAATAGTGGAATCAGAAATATTCGATAAAAAAAAAGTGCGGATTACAAGACAGAGAAGGTATTTAAAGTGGAAATACAAGTGACAGGCCAAGAAAATGACCCAGATAAGGACTCTTTACTGGATATACAAAAGAAGCTGGCTGAAATTTTAAAAATTAAATGGGAATTGCAAATGATAAACCAAGAGATGACCTGGATAATGTCTTTTTATTGGATTTACAAAGAAGCTTGTTAAAGCCTCGAGAAGCCTATCCAATGGGACAAAGACGAATTCAAGAGAGATCAAGTCTTACAACAATATTTGAGCATTGATATGACCATGTTCAATTTTGGCTCTAATGTAATAACAAGCCTCTTCTTTTTTAAACTTGTACTGCTTTCCTCTGATGGAAACTTCCTTTTCTCCATTTTGCATACATGAAGATCAATAGCGTCTAAAATCCCAAGTGCAACTGCGCGTGTGCTAGTCTGAAATGAGCATGCACTCGCCTCGTGTTAACTGCATTTTGGGTCACATTAAACACGACCCGGTATCAATTTACAATTCGCACTAAGTCAAATACTGCATTATTTGAACTCGCACGAATCATTACCTACCTGTACTATAATTGTTAGGTGACAAAATCTCAAAATATTTTCTTCTTAAAGGAAGAAATTAAAGTGAAAAAGATTCTTCTTTAAAAATATTAGATACCGTGGCTCTTTGAAGCATTTCTATCATGGATGTTACCATGGGAACATCAGGCCCATTTCTTATCAGGATCCCTTTGTCAAACACAAAGTCTAATTCCTATTTAAAACACAGAGCACAATTCTGGGACATCATTTCATTATTTCAGTGGAAAAGAACATTTTTTGGAAGAAATACAGTATGAACTCCTGTACATATACAGGTTGTCAACAAGGGAGGTAGATCTATTCAGTAACTTTATTCAATAAAATCCCAAATTTATACACTGTCCTAAGAGATAATGTAGTATATTCAGTTTTGTTACCACAATGTGCAAACCCAATTGTTGCAGTTTTCTAAACTTTAGTTCATGACTCAGAATTACTAGTGAAGTAGGCTAAAGGGGCTGTTCAACAAACCATGGTTAGAACAAGCCGTGGCAGTTTATTTTTTTATATGTACATGATGTGTTGAATAACAGAATGCTCTTGTCATGGAAAGCTGAAATGGAGCTAGAAGGGATGAAGAAATATGTTCAAATTAAGGAAATTGCACTGAGACTATCTTGGTTCTAGACTTTAAAAATAAAAAAAGGACAATATGGATCTGGATAGATCTTTAAAAGCTTAATGGAGCTATAGAAAGAGATAAATGTGAAGATCTAAACTTGGAGAATATTTTTGGCAAATAGTTTTGACTAACCAGATTGCTATAGTAACTACACTTCCTTTTGTAAGATGTTGAGAGTTTCTTATGATATGCCCTTCCAAGATTTTTTAAAAATGATAGAATTCATTACCTCAGTCTTCCCAAACCTAACAACCTCCAGATAGATGAATTGGACTACAGTTCCCAGCATCCCCATCCAGCATGCTAGATTTGTAGCATATCATATCTGGAAGGCACCAGGCTGAAGTAGAACTGTAGAAACATAACAGCATTTACTGTCACCTTCCTGAACGCCATCTTAATGTCTTGCTTCTAGAATGGTTGGTTGTTTAAGCCAAGGTGGGTGACTTCCAGGTGTTGCTGAATTACTACTCACAGCAGCCCAGCTAGCAGGGCCAGTGATGAAAGATCCTCCATCGTTAGCCCTGCTAGCTAAGTTATTAGAAATTGTAACTCAGCAACATCTGGAGCATTCCAGATGTGGAGAATTTCCCACACCTCCTCTATGTCTTCCCAGGGCACAGAGAAATGTAGCACAGTCAATTTGTTCTCACCACCCTAGACTGCCCCATATTCCACAATAAGCTCAGATAAAATATAAACTAATCTTACTTTGTCCAAGGAGGTGACATGTTGAACCCCTGCATGTGGGTCATTGTATAGCCTGGTCAGGTTTCGGCTCAGAAAATCCCAGTAATCCTTTTTCTGTCCAAAGAGGTTTTTCTTCTCTTTCAAATCATACTAGAATATGGAGGAGGGGAAAATAATAGTATTAATGCTGATGGGTCCTTCACTGATGCTATGATAAATGATTCAGTAGCTGATTATAAGTTAACTGGTGACAGAAATGAAGAATAATGGGTTACAGATTTTCTAAATAAGTATGTTTTAGGGAATACTATAAACATATTGGAGGTTCAGATAGAAATGCTGGGGAAAAATAACTCTACTCCTCTTCGCAAAGCAAAAGATAAAATTCTGAGGGCAACACAAAGATGGGATTTTGCCTATGGAGTAAGGAGCAACCTCAGGAGCTGGGCGTGCATCGTGTTACAAAATTAGTAGCTAGACCCACTAAAATTGTAACTCTCATGATGTACTCTATAATCCAGGAGTAGAAAACCATTCTTCAGTTGGGGGCTATACAGTATTCCTTTGGGGTTATCTATGAGGATTGCCAGTAGCAATGGCTACCAGTGCCTGGAATGAGCAGGAACAGAGCCAGAATTTGGCAGGACTATTCTTCTCTCTCTCTCTCTTTCTTACACCTCTTTCCCCTCCCTCTTACTCTCCCCCTGCTTCAAGAGGAGCAGATCCCGTTGCCAGAGAACTGAACTAAGCCCTAGCAGAGGGCTTTTAAAACTGGAGCAACCCCTGCAATCACCTCCAGGAGCCCAAGATTTACCCTCTTGTCAAGCAAAGGCCCACAGTTGATGAGGAGATCGGGAGCCTCATACCTGCAGCAGAAATTCCAGCTGGGCACAGAAGGGTTGCAGTTCCTGGCTACCATCTGTCACGGGAAGACCCCGCTCACGGTAGTTTTTGTTTAAGTCAATCAGGGTATCTAGGGGGAAAAGAGGGAACTGGAGTGGTCATATCCCAATTCATAAAACATTTGAGTCCTGCTGTAGCATTTCTCCTCCTAAAGTTAAAATCAGGTGAAGAGAGTGTGTCAAACATACCCATTGTAGCCCAAATGTCAGAATGAGGAATAAGGGGGAAGATATATCTGGGAAGACCCCATAGAAGGACCCATAGTCAAACAAAAAGAGAAGTCAACTCCCACAAAACATTCTTAAAGGGTGCACACATGAGTGTTCATGTGCAGAAAGGAGGAGGATGGAAAGAGCATAAAAGAATAGCTCATTCAGCCCAGCAAGGTTATTCATGCCATCACCTCCCTCCTTGGCCAAAGCAAAGGAATAGATTTTTTTTAAACAGTTTGATCTGTTCTGGGCAGAGAGGCAATCAATCAGTCAGTAGAAGGCAGCTTGACTCATAGAGTAAAATGTGTTAATTGATGGGCCATTCTACTCATTGTTTTATTATGTATACCTTTATCCAGAAAGCTCAGCTTTCAGGTGTACCACTTCCTCCACACAGGATAAATTGACTGGGAGGACTGGGTGGGTCTGTACTTTTTACTGTTGAACTTCTAACAATCCAAATTCACCCTGATTTCATTTTATTGAATACTCCAGCCCTGTTACTGTGTTTGGCAAAGAACCCATCTGAGTCTGGGTTAGGATCTCACCCAGTGATCCCATCCCTAATGCCAATCTGTTCAAGGCCTGAGTATGACAGTGTCTGTGCCTACAGTCAAACACACCTAACCTCCTATGTGCACAGTCTTGGATCAGAGAAAAATCTGAACAATTTCTTCAGTTTACGGGCATCCCTAGTAGGTACTGTAGATGCAGCGAGTATGGCTTAGAATAATCTGCCTTGTATTCTCGCAGATGTCTTGCAAGTTGTAGGAAGGCATATGGTGGACAACTCTAACCAAATAAATGCAGTGAGGACACATGGGGTTTGCCACAAAAGCATAACTGATGCCAGCATAAGCTCATGCTAAACTCTGACGTGCGCACATGATTCCGTTGGGTAAATTATCCCATTTTGAGTGGTTTCTTTTCTAGCCTGTGGCAAGATAGCCTCTGGTTTGTGGTTTTGTGGCCAGTTCTTTCTAGCCAGAGATTTGCCCAGAGATGATGTTAATCTCCCAGAGAGCAAAACCACAAAAACAGCTCCAATCTTAACAGGCCACTCTCTGTAGCTAGGATCTGGCCATTATTTCTAATTCTGTCTGGGTTCTAAGAGGTCCTCCTAAGGGGAAAAGTCAGCAGAACTGCCTATCCCATAGCCATCAACTGTGCTTTGTCCAGACACCAGGTATGAAAATATACATAATACTGTATAAAAGAATGCCAGTCCAGGGGATATGTGAGAAATATGCCCCACCTCAAAGCAGATCCCAGATAATGCCCATCATTTTAGTAATGCATACAGTGAAGAGAGCAGCCACATATACCCCCCTTACTTACACTTTAATTCCTTGATCACATGAAGCAGCTCTCTGTCAGTAGCCATCATTCCACATCACAGTCCCTTCAGAAGGAAACAGCTATTAATTAAGGAATTTCAGGGCTGGCCCTACAGTCTGGGAGAATAGCAAAGCTATTTCCGGAAGCAGATTTGGGTGTCATAAAAAATATTAGTTATATAAATATGCATTGTTATCTAATAACAATAGCAGCTGGATAACATAGTAGTTAGAACTGCCTTTGACACAGGAGATCAGGGTTCAAATCCTGGCTGGTACCTACCTTACCAGTAGGGGTCCTTGGGCAAAGACCCCCTAATGTTTCACCTGCCTACCTCAAATATAAAAGTGACAGGTACAAAGAGAGTCATGCTGGCTCAGATGTCAGGTCCACGTCAGATGTTGGGGAACCAGGACAAACTGATGATAAGTGGGCTACTGGAACAAACCATACATGGACGAGACAAGAGAACTTGGA